ACCTAATTTTTTCCATAACAAAAACACCCCCAACAGGAACATGCTCTTTCAAGTATGTTTTGATTTATTTCCAAAATAAAAAAAGTAGTGTCATCACAAAACATGATACAAAGATACAGTAACGAAAAAAAAAAAAACCTCCGACATCTTTGAATTGTTTCATGTGCTTTTCTTTTTTTTTCTTRTTGTTTTTGTGACAYTAAAAGCTGCAGAGAGYAAGAACAGATGAAACGAGCTGAAAACCAAAACTTTCAACAAGATATATTCTTTACAAAGCTTTTAAAAAGAGACACGGAGCCTGTCTGGACGACATTAACAACAGCGACAACAAAAGATCTTCATTTCATTCACAACCACAAACAGAAAACAGGCCACTCAGGTTTTTGCACCAATAAACACACATAAAAAAAAAGTTAGAAAAGTACACACATAAAGTCTATAAAATTAAAATGTCACAAAAGTATTTACAGAAAAACACACACACACCACCGCGCAATTACTTTTAATAAAAAATAATAATTTACATTGCATGAGACACATGTTACAAAGAAGTCAATAAACATTCAACAAAATAAACCAAAAAAAAGGTATTTAAATAGAAAAAACAGTTTGAACCTGCTGTGCAAATTCTTTAATCTGTCACAAAGAACACGTCACATGTAAAGTAAACGCATCGAGCCTGGCTGTTAAAAAATCTGGATTTGATAAGGAGTGCATACTTTAGTGCGAAGTGCAAACAAATTGCTTCTCAATGTTGTGCATCAGAATCAGAGTTTTTGGCGGTTTGTACGTTTTCGTAAGCAGCAGTAACGTTTTTTTTTCTCCGTAATAAAATATTCGATAGAAAATCTARTTTTCTATTCTAGAATTGAACCCACAGTTTTGTCGGCCAGTGATATAGCTTTGATATAATTACAATTTAATAGTTTTCTTAGTAGCACAGACCTCTAAACCTTCAGCTTATTCTTCGCTTCGTGTACGTCAGAGGGAGGCGACAGCGCGAGCAGCCGCTGAGTAGCAGGAAGAGTTGGTCCTCCTCTAACCAGGCACTTTATTCACTGTGGRCCCCAGAAGGAGCCGACGGCTGAAAGCTGAGCCGAGCTCGTCCTCTCACCCGGCTCCACCGCTGATTGAACCTCGGCGCTCAKGCGTCGGAGATGCAGTTCTGGATCTTATCCATCCACACCTGAGCGCTGGGAGCGTCGGACGCGCAGAAGTTGTAGACTCTCTTGTTCGTTTTCAGCTGAAAGGGCCATAAGATTGGAGAAGTTGACGGTAACATACGAGAATACAAAAACCCGTGCACCCTAATATTATGATGTACACTCACCGGCCACTTTATTAGGTACACCTGTCCAACTGCTCGTTAACACTTAATTTCTAATCAGC